GTTCTACCTGGGTATTGGCTACACATTTCTCGGAACTAGAACTTGGACACAGTTCTTGGATCATGGAAACAGGGCTTAAGTCACCTGATCTAAAACTCTGCATCCTTATTGGTTCTCGCAAGCAATTCAGTAGGAAACCTCTAGTATCGTGTACCGCTGGCTTTATACTATGACCAACTGTGACTGTGTTTCGATCGATGTGGATTCGGGCCGACATGGTTTATTACACGATGAATTGTTTAAGTTTAACATTAACGACTTTTATACTTCTTTTACCCAGGGAAAGCCGGCGTGATCCATCCTCAGTTTAAATGTGCGACATATTGAAATGACTAACATACGCGGACTTCGAGTCTCGTTATGGTTCTGGTTTGACGTGTTGCTACGTGTCTTTCTGGCAGTGCTATTCGTGTAAGTTGATGTTTCGGTGGGTGTGCAGTTAAACAATCAATATGTTACAATTAGCTATATGCCATTAAACTTATTGGTATTCAAACGTCAATCTATAGTAATTAGTATTAATTAACACAGTAATGTTAGAAATTTTATTTATATTATATTTTTATGCTATTTTATGCATAAGATTTGCGGCTCTTTTACTGATATATTTATATAAATCTTAAATTTATAAAATAAACTAGTAGCGTTATCCAAAGCAGGAAGGCACAATAAATAAATAAGAAGCATTAATATAATTTTTTAAGAAGTAGTAATAATTTTTCCTCTGGTTTCTCCGAGAGATAGAATCATAAGATACATTGTACGTGTATTTTTACTACTGTTTATTATTGTATCTAAGGCACGAATGCTCATTGTTTCAAAGTATTATAGTGCAATAGAAATTTCACCTATAATGTTATATCTTTACATACATTTTATGACTTTTGTTATTGATATTCTGTATTAATATAAGTTTTGCCTAGTTGCAGTGATCCTTTGAGAAATAATATAAATTGTACTTAATACAAATAATAGAAATCATTTTTTATACTATTTTACTTTTTTTTATCAGTCGACTTTTACCACCTCTACAACACAAAAACTTATATTTCGACGACGATCTTTCAATCTACAGCAGCTAATAAATCCGAAAAAAACGGCTCATACTTTACAGCTGTTATGATTTGCGTTGCGAGCGATTTTTATCTTTTTATCTTTTGACTTTATATCTAAATTATATTTTATATTCTATTTATTTTATATACTGAAGATGGCCTAGAGAAAGACCGAAACGTTTGTATTTTTATGTTTTAAACATATGGGAATTTTATCATTGTGACACTAACACCTAGTCAAGGCTCTTAGCCCCTTTTATTCATTGACTTTTTTTTTATCATAAATGCTCATTATTTTTTAAATAGAATGCTGGATTTGATGGCTTTCAGGGAGCTGGAAAAAGCAGAACCATTTACACGAAAAATTCATGAAGCAGAATTATGGCTATACACAAATCCGAGGACAGAATCTTTCGTCCCAACCACAATATTATGGGTAAACATATACCTAGAAAGATTTTAATAAATAGGATTAACAATAAAATAAGTAGAATATTGTGTCACAAGTAATATATATATATATATATATATATATATATATGTATATATTAAATGAAACATTCTTTTTTCCAGCCTCTTGTGTTTATGATGCCGATTGTCGTTATTTGTTTCTTTTTCACAATGCACAAAGACAAAGTCGATCTTCAGCAGTCAGTATTGTCTGTAACATTAGCCTTAGGAGTTAACGGTCTTATTACAGACATTTTAAAACTTATAGTAGGTACGTTAATTATTGTTGAAACATTTAAGTGCTGCAAACATATATCAAATGAGTAAGATCTGCAGTTAAAGTTATTCATGTAATAATTGAGCATTTTTCCATCGTTTCATCAATTTGTCACACTTTCAGGTCGTCCGAGACCAGATTTCTTCTGGCGGTGTTTCCCGGATGGGCAAATGAATCCAGGATTTAAATGCACTGGAGATCCGGTTGTTGTTAGGGATGGAAAGAAGTCATTTCCAAGCGGACATTCCTCATGTATGTCAATATTACATTTGCAACGACATCAGCAAATATAGATATTATGAATAAATGTATCACTATAATTTTATTTATATGAAAGCATTAATTCATTTGGTAAAGAATATACAGAGATAAGATGATATATTTCTATATATTGTAGTATACTCTGATTATAATTTCCGTTCTAGTTGCGTTCGCCAGTTTTGGCTTCATCGCTCTATATTTAGCCGGAAAGTTGCACACATTCAGTCTGGCGGGAAAAGGACAATCGTGGAGACTTTGCATGTTTCTTTTGCCGCTTTGCGTCGCTTTAACTATTGCATTAAGCAGAACGTGCGACTATCACCATCACTGGCAAGGTAATTTTTGCATTTGAAGCTTTGTTGTCGAAATAATATGATTCTAACACAATTTTGTATTAGAATCTGATACAGAATTTGTTTCAGACGTGGTGATGGGATCAGTAATAGGCTACTGCTTAACGTATGTCTGCTATAGACATTATTACCCTCCGTTAGATTCGCCGTATTGTGACAAACCATACGTTGCGCTTACGTTACAAGTGCAGGCGGACACCGCCAAGTCTAACAAGAACGAGCAAATTAAATGGATATAAAAAAGTCAAAATTATTACTGAATATGTGCCGTATATAGTATTTTAAACAGTACTTAATACTTTTGTTAAAATCTTTGAGATTTGTATATTTTGTGTATCGATATATGTATACATCTGAATAAATGTACGCCATACAGAGATGAATTTGTACGTATATTAGAACTTAATTTATGACCAATGTATTACAGATCTGTTCGGTTTAGCTGCGCTACTTATGTTGTGTGTCGTATTTTTTTTCTATTTAATCAGGTATTATTATTTGTAAAGCAAAAATATAGGATTACTGGAATAAAATTCATCAAGCTTCAACTAATTTAAGAACGTGAGTTGTAAGATTTTAAATTAATTTTGGTTCTTGAACTCGAATATCAATAAAATTATCAGTCGTGAATATTTATTATACTTTGTAGTTTTCGAGTTAAGTATTCAACTACGTCATTTTACTTGCGAGAAGCACACACAAAGAAATATTGCTGAAACAGTTGTGTTAGAAATACATGAAACGCAAAATATTTATTTATCTCTGTACATTTATGTTTAATACAATAGATAATTAGATAATTATGTAATTATTATAATATACAGTATTTAATTTTTGTACAACTTTATTCTGTTCTGTTATTTTGACAAAATTTCTGGACGAATTGTGGCGTATGTTTTTTTTAGGCTACTTTAGCTTATTTTGTAAAGTCTACTATTCTTTGTAACTATATTATAAAAATAAAATCTACAATAAAAAAAATCCTAATTTCTAGATTGAAAATAAAATGAGTATGTATATTTTATCGTATTCTGAAAGAAGTATGAAAATTAGAAAATGTTGAGAGTACCCATACAGCACCAAACCTTTCAGAAACATTGCAACATTGCAAATTGCAATGTAATAAGTATTGCAGAGACGATTCAGAGACATTCAATTGTAATATTTCGCCGATAATGCTTCAGTAACCTTGTAGACT